TGGAAGAAGTGGGCATTTAGGACGGGGCTCTCAAGTGTAGAATGTAACATCCACAAGCCATGGCTGGAAGATTACTGGCTCCAGGGAGGACACTTTACATACTCAGGATTCTATTCCTGCACACACTGCTCAACAGCACAGAATATATAACAGAATATTGAACAATTCAAAAATATTTTTTAAATGACACAACTAACCAATGTTACTTATTGCTGTTGTTATTGCAGAGTTGTCAACTACTTAGCAAGATCATATAGAGTTTGTGCAAGTTGGCACAAAAGGGACTTTTGCATTATTCCCATCCATAAACGACTGTGGAATATAATGTCCATGAGCCATGAATGGAAAAGTGTCAGTTCCAGGGAAGATGCCATTACCTTGCTAAGCATCCTATTCCTGGTCATTGGCTGGTGAGGCAGGTTGTATTATAGAAAATTTAATATTACTAAAAAAATTAATGTTACTTTTCTTTCTTTTTTGCACTACGTTATGGACTAATTACAGGAATGATATGGAGTCTGTATGAAGAAAACAGTCTATTACCATCTTAATAAAGCAAATCAAATGATAAATATGAAAATTAGAATACAGCAAAAAAGCTAAGAACACTTATCACAAAAACAGAAAATAAAATTGCAAAGGGGAGGTATAGTGTTGTCAACGCACACAAGTGCTCATGTGAGCCAAGGCTACAAGCCCTGGCTCATCAGACCCATCAGAGCAGTCACTCATGTCAGCCTAATGCCTGTATTTTGGGCCATGTGATTGCCATGAAGCAACCAGATCAAAGGGATTAATAATTCATCTTTTGATATCTCTACATTATCAAGAGTTATGTTGTAATAATACCATAAATCATGATACTAATGAAATGTTGCATTATTAAATCATTTACAAAATTTGTTCATCTCTAATGTTTTGGCTGGAAAATGTCCATAATGCTGCATTGCTTACAGCTTGACTATGAAAGTCTATAAAACTGGCAGTTCAACGTGGTTATCTGTTTTCTACAATGATAACCAGATGGGAAACTGACTTTGTATATGAATAATAGATCATTTTATTTTATAGCAGATAACTAACCTTCCAGTCATCTTGTATAACAGAATAACAAAAAGATAGATGTATATTGTAAAAAAAAAAAAAAAAAAAAAAAAAAAAATCCTCCTCCGAGTTACTACAGCATGGCATGAGCACATGACGGTACACTCCATATAGACCTGGGGTCTTGACATTGTTTACAAATGTATTTACCCATTTCTCAAATTCAGTATTTGTAATGAAATATCTAACAAGGCAGTGATTACATAACAATATCCTCATTCATACTTGAACCATATGCAAGATTAAACCAAGGACACTTTCTTTCATTACCTGAATGAAGTTTCTCTTCTCAGTCCTTTCAGTAAGGTCTAAAACTTTTTTCCCCCCATTGAAACCAAGACACTGCAGAAAAAACTCACCCCTTTGCAGCCGTTATTTTTGCAACTCTCGCCAATCTTCACACCATCAATAGAGGTTTCGATCTCCTCCTCTTCCACTTCCTCTGCTTTCAGTTCTTCTTTGGCTTTCTTTTCTAAAGCCTATTGGGAAATGAAGAGCAAGAAAGAATATAGCATTAACTAATATATTCCTAAGGTCACAAAAACAAAATCTGAAAATATTTGTTAAAATGGCTAATCCTCTCCTTCACTGACTTTGAAACAGTTTATAGCCCAGAAAGACAAACAGAATTGTCAACATCTACAACTACTTATAATGAACAAATTATGACTAAGAGAAAGCTATCAACAAGAACAATCTATAAAATCCACATGATATAAATCATACAGATATCCTTAACTCTTTTAGCCTCTCCTCACACCATCTCCTCATACCTGCCGTAATGACTGGGAGACTGTGACAGGAAGGCGGGTTGTGGGGGTCTCAAATGGAGGTCTTGGGAGTGCAGGTGCATCCTTGCGCGCCTCCACGGTGATGACCTCGTCTTTGGTGGCCGGGTCAATCTTGGGTTTCTGCTGCTCCACTGGCTTCTCTGGATTGTGCTGCCCTTTTGCACACCCCTGGAACATTGGTGTTTCATGAACCGTATTCATGACAAATGTGGAAAGGTATGAATGAGAACGAATATCTTCACTATACAAGATATGTATTTAACCAGTTTCAATTATATCTTCGAAACCGGTTAAATACATCTCTTGTATTGTGAAGATATTCGTTCTCATTCATACCTTTCCACATTAGTGTTTCATGTATTACAGGCTATTATAATGTATTGCAATAACACTGGAAGACAAAAATAAATAAATTCCAGGGAAAACTTGGGCGATGAATGCCATATAAAATCTATCCAAGATTTAGGTTAAAAAAGGAAAAGATCATATGCACAGAAAAATAAATAAATAAAAAATAACAAAAAGAACAACAACAGTAATAGTAATATCAAAAACAATAAATAAAAAGAATAATAATCATTATAATAATATCAAGAACAATAATA